TAAATTACAGTTACTTATGAAAATGTTAACGATTTCAAAGGGGGGTTACATCTGAATATTTTCACACACACACACAATCTTTTTTGCTATCTTAGTGAGGACATTGCACAGACTTCCATTGATTTTATATCAGATTAATGATATTTTCTATCCCCTATGCCTAAACCCCTCACAGAAACATTTGCAGAACACTAGATTTAAATAAAAACATCTTTTGGCTGATTTATAATCACTGATCTATATATAATATATTATTATAGATCAGTGTTTATAATCCTTTTTAACTAGTGAGGACCAGTCAAATGTCCTCATTAATGGGTTGTCATGATCTTTCACTATATAAGTGAGGATATTTGGTCCACACGTCACAAGTATAGTTAAACCAGTGCACACACACACACACACAGATTTAATTGATTTCTTTTCCAAATTGCATTGACTGCTCTAAAATATGAGACACCAATGTTTCAGTTCAGGACAGGACATATGCTTATTCGATAACTCTTTTATTTTTATATTTGGGTTTATGTATATGCTTTATTTTTTTAAGATTGACTGTTTTTTTTCCAAGGCATTGTTTGATGCCAATGTTTCCTGACATATTTGCTACGCAAAGATTTGATTTCAAAAACAGAATCGTTGCTATTAAACTATATCTTGTTATATGATTTTAAATCTGTATTTAACCTCAGAACGATCTTAAAGTAAAAGAGGTGCTAAAGTCTGATTTTGTGGTGGCTGTGCTGTAAAAATTAAATGATTATAATCTTAATTCAAGTGGATTCTTGAGGCTTTTGACAGTAATCGGTGTTGAGTCTTACTGTGAGGTTAACCCTGTCTGGTTTAAATGTTTATAAATTTAGAAAAGTAATCAAATGGAATACATTACTTTAATAAAGTAGTTGAAATAGTAGTAGTAGTTTTAAATAGGGTAACTTGTACTCACATTTCCAAAGTAGGCTTCCCAACACTGAAAGCTTATAACTCAAACAGTTTTGGTTCCCATTGATCTCCACAGTATGGACAAGAATACAATGCAAGTCAATGGGAACCAAAACTGTTTGTTTACCAGCCTTCTTCAAAATATCTGTCACACAGGTTTAGAACAACATGGGTATGAGTAAATGATGACAGCATTTACATTTCTGGGCGAACTGTCCCTTTAATACATTCATAAAAGTGATCTATGTAATATCAAAACCTCATGGTTGAGTCTTTTATCCCCACTCTCCCAGTGAAGGCTCTCACGCTCTGATTTAGAGGTCAGTATTTGTGTTCTTCTCTTTACCCTCATTCTATTCAGCATTCTCTAACTTGTTCTTAATTTTCTTCCCTACAGAGTCAGAGCAGTGGGAAAGCGAGCGTTTGCAGTTCTGTGGAGACGCGCTGCTCACTCCAGTCCAGCAGGGGGCGGAAGTGCGACTTGACTCCGCCCACAACAAAGATGGCGCCTCCCGTAGAACACGAGGATTCATGTGAACAAGTAAGTTTTTTTTGTTAGACAATGTCGAGCGTTGAAGGTGCGTCATATATCTGAATCTGTCTTAACATACATTTACAATAAATCAAAGAGCCTGATAATTAAGCTGTAAACGGCAGTGATGTGTCGCTGTTTGTACAGGAGGAGGCTGCAGAGGAGCCCAAAACAGCAAAGATCCGAGACACACCAGAGGATATCAAGCTAGAGGCCATTGCCAACACGATCGCATTTCACCCCAGTCAAGACATCCTGGCAGCTGGAGACATTGATGGAGACATCTACCTGTGAGTGTGAGATCCGCAGGATTGTGTTTATGTTTGGAGTCCAGAGATGCTACAGTGATATTTTCATTTAAATATATTAATCTGATCTAATCAAAACCTATTAGACAGAAACTTTAAGCCGTTTTACAACATAAGTAAGATTTTTCGTATTTTTTAAGATGCTTTGCAAGTCTCCTGCTCACCAAGGGTGCATTCATTTGATTAAAAAACATAGTAATAACTGTAATATTGTGAAATATTATTACAATTTAAAAAACTGTTTTCTATGTGAATATCTGTGATGTGCAGCTGTATTTTCAGCATCATTACTCCAGTCTTCAGTGTCACATGATCTTCAGAAATCATTCTAATATTCTGATTTGCTGCTCAAGAAACATTTCTGATTATTATCAATGTTGAAAACAGTGCTGCACAATATTTTTGTGGAAACTGTGATACATTTTATGTTTCAGGATTCACAGATGAATAGAAAGTTCAGAAGAACAGCATTTATTTGAAATAGAATCTTTTGTGACACTTTTGATCAATTTAATGCATCCTTGATGAATAAAAGTATTGTTATTTTTTAAAAATCACACTTAGCCCAAACGTTTGAATGATAATCACTGATAATAATCAGCAAATCAGCATATTAGAATGATTTCTGAAGATCATGTGACACTGAAGACTGGAGTAATGATGCTGAAAATACAGCTGCGCATCACAGAAATACATTACAGTTTAACAGATATTCACA